GCAGTGGGGAGTGAGCAAGAAGAAAAAAAAAACCATCTTACTTTTGTAACTTTCTCCCTCTCTAGTTTTTGAAGTTGTTCTAGTAATGGTCCCTGAGAAGCTGATTCCCATAAACTCGCAGCTTCACAGCCTGGGGGAGAGAACACACACGCACACACACACGCACACGCGCGCACGCACACAAGACAGACACGCACCCACGCCACAGACGCGCACAGAAACACGCAGAGAAAGAACGTTACGATAAATCATATAACCCGCGCTTCACCGCGCGATGTCATCGCTTCCGAAAGCGCCTCAACGACAAACGGCGGCATTTACCCAGCGCCCCCCCCTCGCGGGGGTGTTAAGAGTCCCAGAGCGCTGGACAGTGGCGGAGCCTGACCCCCCCCCCCCCCCCCGCCCGAGTCAGGGGGAAGAGGTGACCGTAAGCGCGATCAAAAAGGAAGGCGTTTAGGGTGGGATTTGAAGGGGTGGGGGGGGGGGGGAGAGGACAAGGCGGAGGGATTGGGGGGAATAGTGACAAGAGTTTCGGGGCGCAGTGGCTGGAGGCACCTTCACTTGTGCGTAGGGTCTTTCACCCTCGACAGTGACTTGCCCGACATTTCACCCCGACCCGACCTGACCCGCCCGGGTCCTCTCGCCCGCGAAGCGGGGGCTCGAACCCCGTTTAGGGTATCGAGGGGACACGGGGGCAAAGGCGGGCGAATTGGGAGTTCGGGTGCAGAGTCGGCAGTGGTCTGATGGAATGGCGGGGCGGGCTCGAGGGGCTGAATGGCCTCCTCCTGTCCCTGTTTGCCCACGTTCCTCACCTGCTGACTGGGAAGCAGAGTTCGACATATCCCAGAGTGAGCCTTCGGGAACAGACATGGATCGGTTGATGTTTGAAGGAATCATGTTTTGCTCTGCACACCTGAAACACAGCAGCAGCATCGTCATCGTCATCATCATCGTCATCATCAACAACACATGACACACAGTCTGCCTTTCCCAGTGTCGGGAGGACGTTCCAAGGCGCTGGGCGGGGCGGGGCGGGGCGGTCAGGGATTTGGACTCGAGTTAGGGGTTGGGATCCCGGGGGTGGGATGCTCATGAGAACTTATGTAAGCGCGTGCGAGCGCGCGCGCGCGAGAGTGTGTGCGTAAGTACGCGTGCGCGTACATGCATGCGTGTGGGTGCATGTACGCGCAAGTGTGTGTGTGCATGCGCGCGCGTGCGTATAGATGGAGGCATGCGTCCGCGTCGGTGTAGGTGTGGGTGCGCTTGTGTGTGAGTGCGAGTGGGCGTGTACATGCATGCGTGCGGGTATGTGTGCCCGAGTGTGTGTGGGCGCGCGTGTGTATATGCATGCGTGTGCGATACACACACACGCACAGCTGCTACGAGAGCGTTACCTGGATTTGAGAGCCTGGATCTGCTGCAGGAAGAGAACAAGTTGTTGTTGTTGTTGCTGCGTCATGCTGGCTTTCTGCTGCAGAGCGCACTGGGCTTGCTGTTGCCGACTGCGGAGACGGGACACATCCATTCAGTCAACTCCTCCACCCGGTACACCCCCTCGTCCGCTATTAGCCCCCTTCCCCCCCACCCCGTCCCCCCTACCCCTCTCTCCACAGCCTCGCTCCTCCCTGTCCCGGCGACTTGCTACCCACCACCCCCGGCCAACCCCGTGCCCCTCCCTCCGCCCAGCGGGCTCTGGCCTGTTCCACTACCTACCGTCGGAGGGTCGGGCCTTCAGCCTCTCTGCCCCCACCCCACCACCACCCCCTGGAACTCCATCCCATATCCCCTCCGCCCCCCCCTCCCTCCCTCTCCCCCCTTCAAAGGCCGTGTGGGAGTTCCAGGTGGGGCTGAGCCGAGTGGGGGAGATGGAGTCGGCCGAAGCCCGCAGCTATATGTGCGCTGATCTCTGTCCCCTCACTCCCACTCCACCACACCCCCCACCACACCCACCCCCCCCCCCACCCCCCCAACCTCTCCCCCACCTGTTGATGAGCTGGAGGAATTGCTGGTATTGTAGCTGGTGATACAGAGCCGTCGCCAACTCCCTCTGTTTCTTCAGTCGCCCCTGATCCATGTCTCCCTGTGACAAGAGAGCGCACACGGCACAACACGTGAGACGTCAGCACGCCAACCTCGTGCTCTGGCACGCGCGCACAGACCGCACACATACACACACACACGCACACGCACACACACACACACACACACACAGACTCACCGCCGTAGAAACAGGAGGGGGCCATTCAGCCCCACGAGCCTGTTCCGCCGTTCTATCAGATCACGGCTGATCTGTACCTCAACGCCAATTACCCCCCCCCCCCAACCCCCCTTTGCCCCATATCCCTCGATCCCCCGAACCTAAGAGACATCCATCCACCTGAGTCTGGACAGTGTGAATGGATCGAGCCATAACCCCCACAGCCTTTTGGGGGGTGAGAGAGAGAGAGAGAAAGAGAGAGAGAGAGAGAGATTCCCACTGGCCTTTGGGTGAAAAAATACCCCCCGATTTCACTCCTAAACCCCCCGGCTCTAATTTTAAGACGATGCCCCCCACAACCCGTTCTGGATTCCCCCCCCCCCCCCACCACCTTCACCAGAGGAAATAGTTTCCCTGTAGCTACCACCGTAAATTACGTGTCGGGAGAACGTCCCGCAAAGACACCCACGATAACAACAACAACAACATGGATGGATGTAACACAGGTTAGCGTCGGGAAGCGCTTTTAAGGGAAAGAATGGGGCCAAGGATGGAGCGTTGGGGTACCCCGCAGGTGACCGAGCGAGGGCGGGAGGAAAACCCATTTGCCGAGGCGTATTGTTGCCGGTTTGTTGAGTGGAATACACACACACACGCAACTATACATATATATACACACACACACGCATATACATATACACACACACTATACGCACACACAGACACACACGACTATATATTGTATATATACACACACACACACGCACACGCACACACACGACGTACATACACAACTGCACGCGCGCGCACACACACCCCTACACGCGCACAACTAAACACACACACACGCGCGCGCGCGCACACAAACGCACGCTCGCTCTGTGAATTAATCAACTGCTCACAAGATAATATTTCCTACGGATTTATAAAAAAGGGGGATCGGGGTGGGGGGGGGGCGGGGGGTTTAAAAAAAAAAGCAACACAACCGATCTCATCTTCGGACAAAAGTTCGTCGAACTGAAATGTCAACTCAAAACCCTCTCTCTCTCTCTCACTCGACAGATGTTCGAACCACTTACGTTTCTATTACAAGAGTTTATTATTTTTTTGTTAAAAAGTCCGTCTGCGGTTAATTGAAAAGGTTTGGTTGGGGGGGGGGGGGGAATAGTGGGGAAGGTGGGTGGGGAGGAAGTCTTGTGTGCGTGTGTGTGTGTGTGTTGGGGGGGGGGGGGGGAGTTTTGAGACGGTCCCCCTCCCTCTCACGTCAGCACTCACGGAGGAGTTGGGGTATAGTTTGCATCTAAACAATGGGGCTTTTTTTTGGGGTGGGGGTGGGGGTGGGGGGGGAAAAGAAATGCACCCGATAAAACACACCTGGATTATATACACACACACACACACACGGGGGGGGGGGAAGCCGCTTAAAACGGGACACATCGCCATTTTGTCCGCCTTAACAGGCGTCCGGCGTTAACCAAAGTCCCCTCATCTCTCCCCACGTCCCTAACCCCCCCCCCCCACCCGCCCGCGTCCCTTCCCCGTCAAGTGATTATTCCTAACAAGTGATGGCCCTCGCGTCCGATACGGCGCCTCGTCGAGACGTCTCCGAAGCGCTTCGCGGGGGGGCACGCCGCCAAGTGGAGTGACTGTGTAGTATTTTGCGGGCGAAAGGCGGCAGCCAATTGCGCCCGGCGACGACCCCACAAACTGTCGTGGATTGAGTGACCACATTATTATTTACTGATTGATTGATCGAAGGGATTATTAACCACCCCCCCCCACCCACCCAGAACAGCCATCTATCAATCGACTAACAAGTGAGTTCCTACTTACGTACTTATGGCTAAGTTATCAGAGTGTGTGTGTGTGTGTGTGTGGGGGGGGGGGTGGGAGGGGAGGGAGTAAGCTTGCCTAAGGTTTCTCCCCGACCTGACCCGCCCCGGGGAATCGCACCCGGGTCCCTCTCGCTCGGGTTACACCCAACAACAACAATAATAACCCTTCGCACTCGATGCGCACAGCGCCCTCGTGTCGCGGCTCAACCCGGCGTCCGGCGTCAAGCGGCGTCAAGCGGGGTCAAGTGGCTTCCACTGCGTGCGGATTTCTACAGCTTTATATTATCGATAATATATATATTTGTGTGTGTATATATATATGTATATAGCTCTCAAAAAAAAACGGTCACGATCAAATAGGTCTCCTACCTGCTGAGAAAAAGCAGTGGTTTCAGGAGGACTGTGGGAAGACCATAATTCCATTTGTCTGCTCTCTTGATTGCTGTGCTGGTTGTTTACAGTATAAGGGACAGGCTGTTAAAGAGACGAATGGTACAGGAACCCCGTGTTTTACTTAAAAGCTCAGACTCCGAATTCAGTGGTCACAGTGGCAACCGAATTTCGAATGAAAAAAAAACTAAAGAGTGAATAAAAAATGTTTTTTTTTTTTAAAAAACAAAAAAAAATGCTCCAAACGAAACGTAAAACAAAATGTGTGTCGGTGTGTATGTGTGTGTATGTGAAGCGTAAACTCGGCTAACCAATCGCAAGGTTAATAACGCTCTCGCCCGTCCGACGCCACCGCGCGGCGTCGCTGAGATGTCTCGGTGAACGCAAGATCAAATAAGGTACGATGGAGTAAAGCCGCAAACGAAAAGGTAAATGGTTTGAGATTGTACGCAGCCACGTGCGTTCCTACAGATACTCTCTCTCTCTCTCTCTCTCTCTTTCTCTCTCTCTCTTATACGATAATAATAATCCTTGCATTTGACACAGCGCCTTAACACGTCGTCGAGACGTCTCAAAGCGCTTCACGGGGTGGGGGGGGTGTATCGTTAAAGTGGCTGAACGCGCGGCCACCGATGGCGGGAGCGGAGGCAACGGGTGGCGGAGTGAGCAGGCGGGAGAGGCGGGAGGGGGGAAAGGGGAAAGAAAGAGATCGAAAGTGGCAGGAGATGATATTAATAATAATAATAAGCCTTCCATCTCACACAGCGCCTCATCGAGACGTCTCAAAGCGCTTCACGGGCTACGGCGAGGAGTGGAGTGACCGTGGGTGCGTTTGGCGGGCGAAACCCGGCAGCCGATCGCGCACAGCGACGGTCCCCACCGGCCGTCGTGGGGTTGCAGTGACCGGAATCATTTATTCGTTGATTGATCGATTGCCTGAAGGGATTATTAACCCCCCCGGAAAAGCGACCCCCCAATCGACTAACGAGCGGGCTTCCTACCGACTGCTGGTAAACAGAGGCGTGCGTGTGTGCGTGCGTGCGTGTTTGCGTGTGTGTTTGCGTGCGTGCGCGTGTCGTAAGGAAACTCGCTGAGCTACAGGACCCCACGTGTATACATAAATAAAAAAAATGGCCAAAATAATAATAATAATAATGATGATGATGATGATAATAATAACTAATAACCCTGGCATTTGACACAGCCCCTCAACACGTCTTCGAGGCGTCTCAAAGCGCTTCGCGGGATACGGCGGCGAAACACGAGAGGTCGAATCGATCGCGGGGCTTACCAGTAATGGTGGGGGAGATGGACCGGGGCTGAAAGGCACTCTTCCCCACATCTTGATCACGTCGCCCAGGGGCTGAAAACCTTCGTCGCACCCGCGTTTAACCAGCAGCGACATGGGGAAGTAGCCGGCCTGGAACCAGTCAGACATTTCCTGCGTTGTGAACGGACCTGCAAGCACAGGCCACACCAGCTCAGCACGTTTCCGCACGTTGATAATTAATAATTAATAATAATAATAATAATCCTTGCGTTTGACGCAGCCCCTTATCACGTCTTTTGGGACGTCTCGGCGACTGACTTGACCTGCCCCGGGAGTCGAACCCGGGTCCTCTGGCTTGCGAAGCGAGGGGTCTAACCCCTGAGCTACAGGGGCTGTGGGGCGCGAGGGGAGGGGTCTAACCCCTGAGCTACAGGGGCTGTGGCTCTTGATGCGAGGAGTCTAACCCCTGAGCTACAGGGGTTGTGGGGTGCGAGGCAAGGGGTCTAACCCCTGAGTTACAGGGGCTGTGGGGTGCGAGGCGAGGGGTCTAACCCCTGAGCTACAGAGGCTGTGGCTCTTGATGCGAGGGGTCTAACCCCTGAGCTACAGGGGCTGTGGCTCGTGAGGCGAGGGGTCTAACCCGAGATACAGGGACCGTGACTTGCGAGGCGAGGGGTCTAACCTGCTTGTCGGCCTCCCCAACTCTTCCCTCCGCAAGCTGCAGATCATTCAGTACCCTGCTGCCCGTGTCCCTTCCCGCACCAGGCTCCGTGACCCCCATCGCCCCCACCCTCGCCCTCACCCGGCTCCACTGGCTCCCCGTCCCCCAGATCCTACGGTTCAAAATCCTCATCCTCGTCTTCAAAGCCCTCCGTGGCCTCGTTCCGTGATCTGGTGACCCCTTATCAACCTGTTGGCTCCCTCCGCTCCGGCCTGCTCCACAGGTAGTTAGTTAGTTGGGGCTTTGGGTGCGGGGTTAACATGAGCTGAGGGGGAGGATTCCCTGCTCCCAGGACGGAGGCGATGGGACTGTCGATCGCTCTGCTCTGGACCTACCTTGGATCTCTCCCTGCGGGTCCTTGTAGAACCATTTCATAGCAGCCTCGTGCGAGAGGGGTAGAGCTGCAGCCGCCCGGCTGCGTTGGTCCTGCATCATCTCCATGAACCGCTCGTCGTCCAGCGAGTTGTCGTGCAGTGAAGCCACCATCTTCTCGGCCTCCTGCCACACGCAGAGGGAGAGAGAGAGAGAGAGAGAAAGGTGAGAGAGAAGAGAGAGAGAGAGATGAGATACGCAGAGAGACAGAGAAAGATGAGATACGCAGAGAGACAGAGAAAGATGAGAGACGCAGAGAGAGACAGAGAGAGACGCAGAGAGACAGAGAGAGAGAAACAGAGAGACGCAAAGAGAGACAGAGAGAGAGAGAGACAGAAAGGGAGAGAAAGAGATGAGAGACACACAAAGAGAGAGAGAGAGAGAGAAAGACATACACAGAGAGAGACAGAGAGGGAGGCCGAGCGAGCGAAGGAGGGCGAGAGCTTGTCCCCATGAAGTCCGCACCTGTTCAAAGCGTTTCATCCCTTCATCGTCGTCGTTGTCCATGGGGGTGAACTCAGCCGGGTTCCCGGGGTAAGGAGGGGAGGAGGAGGGCGAGGAGGAGGACAGGGTGGAGACGGTGGCCGGGCTGAGCTGGGCGGGCTGTCCCAAGCTCACAGCTTCTGTGCGGAAGGCAAAGAGAAATACCGCCGCAAAGGCATTTAGGAGTCAATTTAAGGACCGCTTCTGCCGGCAGGGATCAAAAATCCAAGCTGCATAGTGCGGTGGGTAATTAATATAATAATAATAATAATATTAACAATCCTTGCATTTGAGATGCTGCCTTATGACCTCTTCGAGACGCCTCACAGCGCTTCACAGTAGACACACACACAGTTACACAGTGCTTCACGTCGGGAGTAAAACACACACTCAATTAAGTCTCACTCACACTGGCACACGAGGGAGGGGGAGAGAGGGGGCGGGGGGGAGATAGATTGGGGGAGACACACACACACACACACACACGTGGGGGAGAGAGGGAGAGAGAGTGGGACACACACACACACACAGACAACTACAACAACTTATACAGCAAGCCTCTCGCTCTCCGCAAACGCAAGTCGTCGTCGTCGCCGTAGGGTGAGGACGAACAGCTCCTACCATCAGCAGCAGCCGCCTTGCTGTGGGCCTGGGCTTCGGGGGTGGGGTGGTGCCCGGCCTCTGGCTCGGAGGGTCTCTGTAGCACCGTCTCGCAATCCTCAGCCACCGGCAGGAACACCTCGTGGGGCTGCGATTCCGAGGGCGAGGAGGACGAGCAGGAGGGAGAGATCTTCCCGTTGTAGACCTCGGTGACCAGTTCCGCTCGGTCTGTAATAATAATAAAATAACAAGCCTTACGTTAGATACAGCGCCTCACCACGCCTTCGAGACGTCCCAAAGCCCTCAGGGGACACACTGTCAAGCGTAGTGACTGTGTACTGTGAGGGCAGCCAATCGGGCCCAGCAGCGTCGCACAAACAGTGAGCGACCGGTATATTATCTTTTTTTTTTTTTGGAGGGATTATTACCGCCAGTCGACTTAACAACTTAACTGCTGGGTAAACAAAGAGGTGCGTGTGTGTTGTGCCTGTGTGTGTGCGTGCGCGTGTTTGCGCATCTGTCTGCGTGTGCGCGCGTCTGCGTGCGTGTGCGCGTACACGCACGCGTGGGAGAGGCACAGAGAGAGAGAGAGGGCTCGCGGACGTTCCCGCGGCGTTACCCAAGTCTCCGTTTTCCGTTCGGTCGGATTCCTTGTAGAACTCCATATCGTATTCGTTCTCCTGTCGCTCTTCCAACTCGTCCACTCCCCGGAAATCCAGCTCGTGCTCTTCGGGAATAGGCTCCTTCGAGCCTTTCTGTGGGTGGGGGAGGAGGGAGGTGGGGGCGGGGGTGAGGGGGGAATGGCGGAGGAGAGATTAAAGCCCTGATGATAATAATAATAATAATAACCCCCAAGTATTCTGCCCTAACAGAAATATAACAACATCGTGATCCTTGCATTTGATACAGCAGCTTATCAGGTCTTCCGGGCGTCTCAGAGCGCTTACGCAGCTTGTGCTGTAAAGCGTAGTGACTGTGTCTTTTGTGGGTGAAACGGGGCAGCCAATTGCACACAGCGACGTCCCCCACAAACAGTCGTGGATTGAGTGATATTTTTAGATTAATTTTTTTTGAAGGCTTTATTACCCCCCGCCCCCCACCCGGAAGTGACCCACCAATCGACTAGCAGGTGGGTACCTACACGCGTGTGTGTGTCTCTGTGTGCGTATGTGTGCGTGGAGGAAGGAAACTTGCCTAAGGTTTCGCCCCGACCTGACCTCAAAATTGGCCGGTGGGCCGGATGCGGCCCGTGGGCCGCCCGTTGGTCCAGCCCGAGTTAACGACGTTCCCTTCACTTCCCTGAACACAGCCCCACCTCCCTCTCCGACCTCCTCACTTCCCGCTCCACCACCGGCGGCCGCGCTTTCAGCCGCCACGTCCCGAAAGTCTGTCGTTCTCTTCCCCCAATCCCCATTTTTCGAACCCCCTCTCCTCTCCCCCCTCAACCTCTGGCTTGGAATCAGGCTCCGCCACTGTTAAGCGCTCTGAGACGCAGCCCTGCATACGTACGTGCGTGCGTGCATGCGTGTGGGTCTATACACATTGCTGTTGTCCTGACCTTCAGCGACATGAAAGCCCCCGAGGAGTCGAAGGTGCCCATCTCCTCCTCCGCGTCGTCCAGGCACCACTCGGGCAGGCTGTCCCTCTCGTCCTCGTAGCTGCCGCTCCCCGTGCGCCCTCGCCTGAACGCCCGCTCCTCGTCTCGCTCCCGGAAGTCGAACTCGAACCTCCGCCGCCGCTGGTCCCCGTGGTCGCGCCAGCCCGCCGAGCGGGGGCAGTCTGCACCGACGCCAAGAGGGATTCGACCATCGGTAACCACCACCATCGGTCATCGTGTCGTACGCGAACGCTAAGACTCTCGTGCAAAGCCCCATCCCCACGGCCTCGCATCTGACCCAGCGCCCCACCCCGTCTTCCGGACACGTCTCAAAGACGCTTCGCGGGAAATGCAGCGACTGAGTGCGTTGTGCGGGCAAAACGCGGCACAACCAACGGCGCCCCACCACCCCCCACCAGACGGGCGTGGATTGCGGAGACCACATTATTATTGATTCGTTTGGTTATTGATTATCCCCCCCACCCCCACCCCGGGAAAAGCGATCCGCCGATCGACTATCGCCCTGGCTCAGACCGTGATTCCAAGTGACGCTCACGACAGGCTACAGCGACCGCCACTGAACCCTAATGGTCCTCAAGTCACCTACAGCGGTAGCCCCCCACCCCCAGCCTCCGCCCCACCCACCCCCAGCCCCGACCACCTCTCGCCTCCTACCAGCCATCCTCCAGCCCGCGTCCTCATCCTCTCCGTTCTGTTCCTCGCGGATTGCCCTCCAGTTCTCGCTGTCCGAGCGCGCAAAGTCCTGCTTGCGGGTCGCCAGGGGCACCTCTTCGAAGCCTACACGCGCTTAAAGAGAACCAGATATCCTTAGAATTATCCTTGCAATTGGCTCCCTTCAAAATAACAACAGTACTAATAATAACACGGTCGCTCAATCCACCGCTGTCTGTCGGACGTCGCTGGGCGCAATTGGCTGCCGCGTTCCGCCCACCAAACACGCAGCCACCGCACTCTGAACGTAAGAATTTGCTCGTCGAAAGAAGACCAAGGTCCGTCTGATGGTATATAATAATAATAATAATCCTTGCATTCGACCCGGCGCCTCATCACGTCTTCGAGACGTCTCAAGGCGCTTCGCGGGCCGCACCGCAAAGTGGAGGGACTGCGTATTTCGCGGGCGAAACGCGGCGGCCCATCGCGCCCGGCGACGTCCCCATCTCCAGTTCATCTTCCGGTCGCTTGACACGTCGTGTCCAGCAAACTATGCACTGGAATCCCGAGGTACTATCTTCTAGCGTTTGCTCTCGACTGTCGTGTTCTGTGGGCGAGAACACGGCAGCGCTGGAAACGTTCGTGGATTGAGTGACAATTTTTTTGTGGGGGAGGGATTATTACCCCCGGAAAGCGATCCACCGGTCAACAAACAACCGGGATCCTCCTTAGCAGTCGTGGGTTGGGTGACCTAATTTCCTTTTCTAAACCACTACTTAACTTTGACCCCCCACCCACCCACCCCCCCACCCCACCTCAGCACACCCCACCCCACCAGCGAGGTATTTTGAGCACCAAAGTTGAAACCGTACCTCCTTCTCTGCGCCCCGGCTTCTCGAATCGCCTGTCACCTCTAGAGTGCACGAGCGGGGAGAGGGGGTTTTGGGGGTGTGAGAGAGAGAGAGAGAGAGAGAGGGGGGGGGGGTGGGGGGGGGGGGGAAGGAATGATGAAGTCAATGAAGAGCCTTTCACAAGGGTTACACGCAAACACGAGATAAAACCTTTCACCTCCTGGTTAAAGAGCACACAGGAACAGGAAGAGGCCATTCAGCCCCTCCAGCCTGTTCCGCCCTCCTATTAAGACCACGGCTGATCTGTACCCCAAGTCCAATTACCACACCCACAAACACACGCGCCTCATTCCCTCCCCACACACAACACCCCCCCACACACACACACACCACAAACCACCCCCCCCCACACCCACACAAACACAACCCACAACACCCCCCCCGAACACCGACTTATCCACACACACCCCTCACACACCCACACAATCCACACACAACACTCCAGCTCAACCCCCCCCGCCCCCCCACCCCACCCCCCCCCGCCCCGCAACCCCTCCGAGAGTAAACCTACCTTTCCTCCCAACTTTGACTCCGTAGCATCTCCCGTGCCCCCCGACCAAAGCCGCCCTCCACGTCTTCAAAGCTCCGCGGATAGAATCCACTCTCCCCCCGCCCCCGCCCTGCGGACAGTCAACGGGTTAAAGACCACATCCGCGTTCGCCTCCCGCCGACATGCCGTGACCCAAACTGTACACTGTAGCTGTGTGTCTTGTCTGTGTCTCTCTGTGTCTGCGTCTCTGTGTGTGTGTCCCCGGATGTTATTCCCTAACAGAAATGCAATCAAATAATAATCCTGGCATTTGATCCCGGACGTCTCGGAGCGCGTCACGGGACACGCTGTAAAGTGGAGCGACTTGGGTGTTTTGCGGGCGAGACGCGGCAGCCGATCGCGCCCAGCGACGCCCCCACAAACAGCCGTGGGTTGAAGTGAGCAATTTATTATCGCCCCCGGAAAAGCGACCCGCCAATCGACGAACAACCGGCTTCCTACTGAGTGCCAGGCAAACAGAGGCAACCGTGCGTGTGTGCGTGTGTCTGGAGTAAGCAAACTCGCCCAACAAATCTATTTCATTTGTTCTCGAAACGAACGCCATTTTCTGCTTCCGCCGTCTCCCTCCCTCCCTCACTCCCTCCCCTAATATTTACCGCTCGCTCCCTGAAGTCGTGTTCCCACAGACCTGTTCCCACGCTTGGAAATTCCCCCCCAGAGGTAAGATGTGCTTCTGTGCTGTAGGTGAGCAATGTAATGCAATGACGTAGAGAGAGAAATAGAGAGAAAGAAAGAGAGGAACGGTGTCAGAATCACTGACCTCTACCTCTTGCCCCCCCTCGGCCTCTAGCTACGCCGGCGGTGGGGGCTGTTGGTCCACGGCCCATCAACCTCATCACGGCGGAGCTGTTTACGGACATAGAAAAGTTCCTCTGCGTGGAGAGAGAGAGAGAGAGAGAGAGAGAGTGGGTTTACCATCGAGTCAGCTCAGAGAGAAATTATTTCCACTGGTCGGTCGTTGGGTCAGCGACAAACACATAATAATAATCCTCGCATTCGATGCAGCGCCTCATCACGTCGTCGAGACGTCTCAAAGCGCTTCGCAGGCTACACGGTAGAGTGTAGTGACTGTGTGTTTTGTGGCCAAAAACGCGACAGCCAATTGCGCCCGGCGACGTCCCCGCAAAGAGTCGTGGATCCGGCGACCCAGTTATTATTGTTATTTTTATTTGGGTGGGGAGGGGGGGGGGGGGAGGAGGTGACCGTAAGCACGATCCAAAAAAGGTCTTTAAGCGCGATTTGAAGGTGGGGAGGGAGGGGAGGGAGGGAGGGGAGGGAGGGAGGGAGGGGGCTAGGCGGAGGGATTGAGGGAGTGGCAGAGTGTCGGGGCGTAGTGGCTGAAGGCACGGCCATCGATGGCGGAGCGGAGGGGACGAGGGACAAACAGGAAGCCTTAGTACAGAGAACGTTCAGTGGTTCCTACCTGCTCTTCCTCTGTAAGAGGTACAAGTGCTAACGGTGGGAGGGGCTCATCCTGTAATATAGCCAGAAACTCCTTATCGGCCAGCTCCTCGGGAACCTACAGGTAAAACAACAATCCTCATCACGTCTTCGAGACGTCGCAAAGCGCTTCGCAGGATGCACCCCGTCACGTGTCGTGGCTGCGTGTTTGGCGGGCGACACGCGCACAGCCAACCGCGCCCGGGGACGTCCCCACAAACAGTCGTGGGTTGAGTGGTCGTGTTATTATTTCTTTCAACTTTTTTGGAAGGGATTCTTACCTTCGGGAAAGCGATCCGCCGATCGACTGACAACCGGGTTTGGGGGGGGGGGGGGGGGGAGTAAGGAAAGTTCGCTAAGGTTTCGCCCCGACCTAACCCGAACCATCCGGGAATCGAACCCGGGTCCTCTGGTTTGCGAGGCGAGGGCTGTAACGTCTGAGCTACAGAGGGCTCCACGGTGGATGGACGGACGGACGAACGGATGGACGGAGTGGCTTCCTTGTGTCCGCTGGCTGTAAATTACCTTGTTATCTTTCATATAAAGTGCTAGCATTTCTTCTCTCCCATATCGGTAATCCGCTAATTTATATTTTGGCAAGGCAGGTGAAGGAGGGGGGGAGGCAATGCTCCCACCGCTGGACAAAGCACGCAGCCTGCGGGAGAGAGAGCGAGAGTGTGAGAGAGAGCGAGAGTGTGAGAGAAAGAGCATGAGAGAGAGAGAGAGAGAGAGAGCGCCATTGGAATTATAGTTCAATTTAGATTTACGTCGTCACCTCGTTGAGACGTCTCAAAGGGCTTCGCAGGACACGCCGTAAAGTGAACCGACTTGTGTGTCTTGTGGGCGAAACGCGGCGGCTAACTGCGCCCAGCGGCGTTTCTCCCCCCCCGCCCCCCCCCAAACAAACAGCCGTGAGGTAAAGTGACCGAATCGTTTTAATTTATCTCGAAGGGATTATTGATCACCCACCCGGGAAAGTCACCCGCCAATCGACTAACAACCGGGTTCCTACTTACTGCTGGGTAAACAGAGGCGCGCGCGCACACGCGTGTGTGTGGTATGTGTGTGTGTGGTGTAAGGAAACTTGCCCAGCGTTTCGCCCTGGGAATCGAAACCCAGGTCCTCTCGCTTGCGAGGCGAGGGCTCCAACCCCTGAGCTACAGGGACTCATTCCACTGTAGGTGAACAGCTGTGATTGAAGGAACCTTACCATTCAGGTCCGAAGTTGAGTGTTTGCGTCTCAGCTGCCATTTCCTTGTCTTCGATACAAGACGTCTAGAGAGGAAAACCACAGGGTTAGATTAAGCTTAACATTGGCTTCCCTCCCCCCTCCTTCCCTTCACTCCAGTGTAATAATAATAATAATAATAAGCCTTGTATTGGATCACGTCGTCGCGACGCCTCAAAGGCACTCCACAGGACACACTGCAAAGTGTAGCGCGACTGTGTGTTTTGTTGGCGAAAGGCGGCGGCCACTTGCGCCCAGCGACGTCCCCGCGCGCGGACGAGGATTGAGCGACTTTTTTTTTGTGTGAAGGGGTTATCGTTTAACCCCGGAAAGCGATCCGCCAATCGACTATCACGCGGGTTCCTACTTACCGCTAGGTAGACACGGCATTTTTGCAGTAAGGAAAAGGTTTCGCCCTGACCTGACCCTCCCGGGAATTGAATTGTGAGGCGAGGCCTCTAACCACTGAGCTACACTACGATACGATGTTGGGGGCGAGGAAAGGCACAAGAGAGGAAGGGACAAGTTCTCACAGGTCCTGATGAAGTGTCTTAGCTGCAGACCAGACCATCCAGCATTCCAGCTCTCTGCCTGAGGGGAATGTTTTCCTTGTGAACTTGCTCGCAGTTTAAACACATACCAGAGTTCAGCTGCGACCGCAAACTGGGTTCACGTCGAGTTTATAACTTCCACGGCTTGTGGTTTCCACAGAGCATCTGAAACTGCTCAATTAAATCCCAGCCTGTACATCGCTAACATCCAACCCTCCCCACGCAGGCAGAGAATGTGTGCGCGCGCGCATGTACACACCCCCACACAGCGTCAATACACACACACCACACACACACACAGTGTCAATGTACACACACAGCGACAATGTGCACACACACACACACACACACACAGTATCAATTTCCACACACTGGAATAATAATCCTTGCATTTGCTATAGCACCTTATCGCGGCGTTGAGGAGTCTCAAAGCGCTTCACAGGATATACTGTAAAGTGTAGTGACTGTACGCCTAGTGGGCAAAGCATGGCAGCCAATTGCGCACGGCAGTGTCCCACAGACAGTCTTGGATTGAGAGGCCGACCTAAAGACATTTTTTTGTTTGTCTTCAGTAGGGATTATTACTCCCGAAAAGCCATGAGGACCATCGTTAATAGAGATGCTAATTATCAGCACGGGAGAGGGAGCAGAGAGACGAAAAGCGAACAAACGAATTAATAATAATCATCATAATAGCCCTGGCATTTGATCTAGCGCTTTTCACGTCTTCGAGACGTCTCAAAGCGCTTCACAGACTAGACCGTAAAGTGAATTGACTGCGCGTTTGTGGGCGAACGCGAAACTGAAAAGCGGCAAAATCAAAACCTTCCGAAAACGGCGGCAGGTCACACCTTTTTTGGCCCTTTTCTGCAGAAAAAAAAATCAAAACACCACAAACAGCAGCGGGGGGGGGAGAGAGATAGCAATCTCCGTCAAACGCCTCAGTCAACGCCACGGGAAGTGACTGTACCACAATGTCTTGAGCGCTTCCTGCCAGATATAAACAGGATCACGTGAGCCCTCACACCAGCACAAGGCGCCTTGCGAGGCAAAGCCCCAACGAGTAAGGAAGGTGGCCTGCGTTCAGCTTGTTGTACTGCCTGGCTCGCGTGTAGGCTGGGGTTGGGGTCTGGGGGCTCGGGGTTAATCCAACCCAGGTTCCCCCTCGCTTGCGAGGCGAGCACTCTAGCCACTGAGCTTCAGGACTCCGCGTAATATCCATAGAGGAAACTTGGGAGGGAGAAGGAGAAAGTACCAGTCAATTACTCAAGCACCGACCGTAAATAAACAGGGATTGCGTTCTGCCTCTCCAACGAGGCTGTTAAGGATATTAAGTGGCACAAAAGCCTCGAGTTACAGCTCCTGAGTGGGATCAGGGCATGGAACCCGTCCTGTACACACCGCCAATACGCCCCGACTTTGACACTACAGCAGCCTGCGTTCCAACGCTGAAAATCACCGTGGTCGTCATCACAGTGCTCGCGTTTGACCTGGCGCCTCGTCACGCCCTCGTGACGTCTCAAAGCGCTTCACGGAATGTAGGCGGTCAAGTGGAGCGACAGTGGATTTTGTGGGCGAAACGCGGCAGCCAATTGCGCCCGGCGACGTCCCCAACCAACAGTCGTGGATCGAATCGTAGAACATTACAGCATTATTACCCCCCCTCCCCCGGAAAAGCGATCCGCCAATCGACTAACGGCCGGGTTCCTACTTACTGCTCGGTAAACCGAGGCGTGCGTGCGTGGGCGGGTGGGTGCGGAGGGAGGAAACTTGCCCAACGTGTCACCCTGCCCTGCCCCTCCCGGGAATCGAACCCAGGTCCTCTCGCTCGCTTGCAAGGCGAGCGTGCTAACCGTCACGCCAGCGGACGCGCGCGGTGCTCCTTTCCTACGTGTCCTAAGGAAACTTATGTCCCGACATTTCGCCACACCTGGGATTCGAGCCCGGGTCCTCTGGCTCGCTTGCGAGACCGCCGACCGCTAACGCCACCGGAAAGCCTTCTCAGCGTCCCGGGAGAGCGCGAGCCGTGTAACTAACCTGACCTCGGGTCGAGTCCCCAACCTCTGAGAGAACCGAAGACTCCCAGGATGTGTCGCGGCAGGTGGGCCCAGTATAGATGAATCGGTGTGATCGGGTTCGATCAGTGATCCCTTTAGCACGCTCAAAAAAAAAAGGAGAGATTCACTCTTTTGCTTCACTGAAAAATACGAGAGAGACAGAGAGAGAAAGGCCGAGATTACAAAGGTTTCTGTCCAACAGCAAAGGATATTTACCGCAGGTGAAGACTAGCGATCAGTCCCGTGGGGTAGCGGTTAGACCCCTCGCCTCGCAAGCGAGAGGACCCGGGTTTGATTCCCGGGCGGGTTGGGTCAGGTCGGGGCGAAACCTTAGGCAAGTTTCCTTACATTCACCCCTCCTCCCACACACACACACACACACACACCTCTGTTTAACTAGCAGTAAATAGGAACCTGGTTGTTAGCCGATTGGCTTTTCCGAGGAGGTAATAATCCCTTCGAAATAAAAAAAAATGATAATAATACGGTCGCTCGATCCATGACTCTCTGTGGGGCACTGCTGTGCGCAATTGGCCGTTAACAGTGTAAAGTGTAGGTGGAACGCCGTCGAAAGCAAAGATTATTCTTGTTGTTACTATTACTAAAGTTACGCAAAGGCTACAACTGCTCGGTTCAGTTCGGTCAGGAAAACCTATTTGCAACTGGGTTAGGAACAGGAAAATGGAGCGGGTCGAGCTATTTGTGTCATCAAACCCGTTGCCTTCACACGGATCAGGAACGGGCGCAGATGTGTTCCTCGCCCTGTGCCACCATTACTGCTCCACGTTGGGAGCAACGGGCTTCCTTGCGCTTGACACGGCGCCTGATCACGTCCTGCGAGGCGTCTCAAGGCGCTTCGCAGGATACACTGTAGGCAGCGCTCTCAGTGGCAAGCTATGTGGTTTCAGCTGGTTAGTTAGCCCGACGCACACTCTGGGCTCCCCATCCCAAGACTTGGCTCTTGCCAACCCGAGCAAAATACTCTGCGGAATTGAGTAAGCAGGAAGCGTCCCTCCAGGGAGAGAGAGAGAGAGAGAGAGAGAGAAGGAGAGAGGCAGAGTCACTCCCTTACTATTACGGGATTTCGGGGAGTCCTGTAGCTCAATGGTTAGGAGAACTTGCCTCGCAAGCGAGAGGTCCTGGGTTCAATTCCCGGGCGGGAATCCAGGGCGAAATGTTGGAACAAATTTCCTTACTCCACACGCACAACACACACACACACGCGCGCGCGCGCGCAGGCCTCTGTTTACCTAGCAGTAAGTAGGAGCCCAGTTGTTGGGTCGCTTTTCCCGGGGGTTAATAATCCCTTCAAAAAATAATGTTAATTTGGTCACTCAATCCACGACGGGGTGTGGGGGACGCTGCCGTGCGCAACTGGCCTCCGCGCTTCGCTCACAAAACACACTGCACTTTACAGTGCATCCCGTGAAGCGCTTTGAGACGTCTCGAAGACGCAAAGACTGTGATTATTTTGTCGGCCACGACACTGAGAAAGAGAGAGAGAGAGAGAGAGACGCCCTCGTTATTGTGGGGTTACTATCCCCGTAAAAAGTGACCCGCCAATCGGCCTTCCGGCGAAAGAAAGAGCAAATACTCACGTGTATCTGTGTCTGAATGATTTTCAACGCGATTGTTGGTGGGAGCAGCGTCTGACTCGAAGTCCAGCGCTGGCGGCCATGGAGACTAATGCATCAGGAGGTTCCTGGGAGATGCCTCTGTTGGCATCAGGCAGGTTAGTGACCGCTGTTTAGTGCAACCTTAAAAGGGGACAGACAGGCAATGAAGGGAGAATAATAATAATATAATAATCCTTATCACGTCTTCGAGACGTCTCAAAGCGCTTCACAGCTATACCGTAAAGTGCAGGGACTGGGTATTTTGTGGGCACCACCCAGCAGTCAATTGCGCACAGCGACGTCCCCACAATCAGTCGTGGATTGAAATCTGTAACAAGGGTATCCTGAACACACACACCACCAATTTCCTGACGTAAAAGGTGCTGTATCAACACACACGGGCGCGCGCGCACACACACACCATTACCCGAAGAGGCAATAATTTCTTCCCAATAATAATATGGTCACTCAACCCACGACTGTTTGTGGGAATCCTGGAGCTCAGCGGTGAGAGAAAAGTCGCCTCGCAAGCAAGAGACCTGGGCTCGATTCCCGGACAGGGCAAAACAGAGCAAGTTTCCACATTCCACGCACACGACTCTGGTTTACCTGGCAGTAAGTCCACTGGCGGGTAGCTTTCCATGGGGTAATAATCCCTGCCCACCCCCCCCAAAGAAGAATGGTAATAATGTGGTCGCTCAATCTACACCTCCCGCGCGCAATTGGCTGCTGGGTTTCGCCCCACAATTTAAGTCAATTCGGTTTACAGTATATTCTGTGAACGACAGACAAACTACACCTACGCAAGCGCCCGTCTTTCACGTCGGGAGGACGTTCCCAAAGCGCTGGGCAGTCAGGGATTTGGAGCCGAGCTGGGGGTTGGGATCAGGAGGGTTGGAGGGCAGGGGGTTTGAATCGTGACCGAAGGCACGTTTGGTCGAAGAGGAGGGTCTTGAGGTGGGCCTTGAAGGAGGCAAGGGAGGGGGCGAGGCAGAGGGTATTTTTTTAAGGGATTATTACCCCCCCCCCGGAATAGCGATCCTCCAATCGACTAACAACCGGGTTTCTACTTGCCGCTAGGTAAACAGAGGCGTGTGAGCGGAGTAAGGAAACTTGCCCAACGACTTTATAAATAGAGAGAGGCATAGATTACAAAAACAAGGAAGTTCTGCTAAACCTTTAAAAGCCATTGGCTGAGCCTCAACTGAAGTACTGCATCCATTTCTGGGTGCAGCGCACTTCAGGAAGGACGTCAAGGCCTTGGCAGAGGGTGCAAAGGGAGATTTACCAGAATGGTACCAGGGACGAGAGACTAGAGAAGCTGGAACTGTTCTCCTTGGAGCAGAGAAGGATGAGGGGCGATTCAACAGAGGTGTTCAAAACTTATGAGGGGTTTCGATAAAGAGTAGATAGGGACAAACTGTTTCCACTGGCAGGTGGGTCGGCAACCAGAGGACGCAGATTTAAAATAGCCGTCGGCAGAAACCAGAGGAGAGACGAGGAGAAATAATTTTACGCAGAGAGTTGCTACGGTCTGGAACGCATCGCCTGAAAGGGTGGTGGAAGAGCAGAGGCAATAACAGCTTTCAAAAGGGAATCGGATAGGTACTTATAATAATAATAATAATCCTTGCATTTGATACAGCGCTTTTCACGTCGGGAGGACGTCCCAAAGCGCTTCACAGAACACACTGTAAAGTGAATTGACTGTATATTTGTGGGCGAACGCGGCGGCCGATTGAAAAGGAAAGGCTTGCAGGGGTACGCGGGGAAGTGGGACCGATTGGGTGGCTCTTCCAAAGAGCCTGCCCAGACGCGATGAGACGAACGGCCTCCTTCTATGATTCTAATGTTTCGGCCCGACCTGGCCCGCCCGGAAATCGAACCCGAGTTCTCTCGCTTGCGGAGCAGGCAGGGTAACCACGTTTCCGGGGTACGAAATAAGGACGCCGTGGCGATTGGGAAACGTTTCTCCCATTTTTACTCACTGGGTCTCTGCCATGCGCCACAGGCAGGAATGTCTCTCTCGAAGTTTCCTTTCCGATGTTTGGGTCCCCTCACCGCCACTTAAAAAGAAGTAGATCTGAAACGACAAGTGAAAGGTGGGTCAGTCCGGTGAAATAAGTGAACCCGGGGGTCGATCCCACACACACACACACACGCGGCTCTGTTTACCTAGCGGTAGGTAGGAACCCGGTTGTCAGTCGATTGGTGGATCGCTCTTCCGGGGACAATAACCTCTTCAAAATAATAATAATTTTCTCATTCAATCCATGAATGTTTGCGGGACACTGCCGGCTGCCGCGTTTCGCTCGCAAAGTACACAGTCAATTCATAGTTCTACTCAACGGTGTGATAAGCCGCTGTACTGAATGCAAGGCTTATTTATTTTTTATATCTAACTCGCGGACTTTATCGAAGTCCGTCCCATGCCCTCCCCTTGACCAACTTTTTTCCATATTAATCTCTTTCTGTCACCTATAATCATCAGCCTTGCATTTTGATACGGCGCCTTAGCACGTCTTCGCGACGTCTCACAGCGCTTCACAGGACGTCCTGTACGGTGTAGACTGGACCCCCTCCGTTAGACGCGGGCTAGAGTCCTTACAAGACAAGAAAGGGCTAAGTTAAGTCAAGGCAGCAACGGGAACCAGATAACTAGCGCTGGTGTCCTTGAGGTTAGGATGTGGACGATAGCAAGGCTCTCAATCCACAGCCCTCTCCAGCGACTGCTGACAGTGAGGAATCAGTTAGAAAATGATGGTCACGTCCAATGTCCTCTTCTTCTTCGACCGCGCCTTTGGCCACCCTCCCACCCCCACCCTGCCCTCCACCCCTCCTGACCCCAACTCCCAGCTTGGGCCCAAAAACACCCCGATTGTCCAGCGCCCTGGGACGTCTTTCCGACGTGAAGGGCCCTACCCAAATGTAATCTGCTGTTGTCCTCTGTGCTGTCTATTCATTTATTTATCTATCTATCTATCTTCACAGGCAATTCACGCCATCAGAGCTCTCAAAAACTGCCACTAGGTTCAACAACAATGACTGTAAATCACCTCAGGACGCCCACAAAAGTCTACCCTCATCACATCACCGCTTACTGGAAAGTGCAGGAGCTTGTGGAGTCCTGCAGTGTAGCAGTCAGCGCGCTTGCGTCGCAAGCGAGAGATTCCCAGGTTCGATCCCCGGGCAGGTTAGGTCAGGTCAGAGCAAAACCTTCGGCAAATTTGCTGGACGCCACCGTGTGCAACTGGTTGTCGCACTTCGCCCACAAAGCACACGGCCGCTCCACTTTACCGCATATTCTGCGCAGGGCCACGAGGCGTCTCGAAGACGGGATAAGGAGCTGTACCAAATGCAGGGCTCGTTATTATAGTCCGCGAAGGGCTTTGAAGACACTCACCGGCTTGATAAGGTGAGCCCGGGTCCGCTTGCTTGTGAGGCGAGCGCCACAGGACGCCACGCGCACGACAAACCGAAAGCGCCATTGGCACTGCGGTTTACACTCAACAAAAATCACACTGCTTTGCCAACGTATGCGACGAAAAGAAAGCCCGTTCGCTTTGCTTCCCTGAAGTCACTAAATTGCTGACGTTTGGACTAACGCGGGATTATACCGCATCAGGTCAAAGTGTCCGCAAAGCAGACGCAAGTCGAGTCAAAAAAATATGCGCTCGCGCACGAACACACACACACACCACGCTTCTGTGAAACGTTTAAAATCCCCACTACGTTTCCGTTTATCTCACAAAATCGATAATTTCGCCCGCGCCTCAGACTCGCGCAGTCACACGCACCGAGTGCAGGGACAAGAACAAGAAAAAAACAAAAATCGTAATCCTTGCATTTAATAATACCCCGATCGCACGCACACCAAAGCATCCCAATGCCAACACGCCGTGCAGAGTCTTGGGGATGGGATGTACAGGTAAACAGAAAGAGGTGAGTGCGTGTGCGTGTACACGTGCACGCGTGTGATATTCACTCCACTTTACAGTATGCCCTGTGAAGCACTTTGAGGCGTCTCAATGATGCGATAAGGCACTATATCAAATGGAATTATTATCAGGGTGTTTAATAATAATAATAATAATAATAATCCTTGCATTTGATATAGCGCTCTTCACGTCGGGAGGACGTCCCAAAGCGCTTCGCAGGACACACTGTAAAGTGAAGTGACTGTATATTTGTGGGCGAACGCGGCAGCCAATTGCGCACAGCAATGTTTAACATAATATTTGCCTTTACAGTGCATCCCGTGAATAGCTTTGGGATGTCCTCCCGATGTGAAAGGCCTTACACCAAACGTGAGGATGATCACCGCAATCTTTCAAGCCAACGATTTTCTAACAAAATAATAAAAAGTAAACGAAAATCTGTCTGATCAGAGCTTAACACTGATTATGCCATTCAGCACACACAGACCAAAAGCTGTTTATCCCTGTTTAATTCAAGCCACTGCACAATACGCACACGTCACCCCCACACAAAACATACACACCACACTCACTACATACACAACTACTCCCAACCACACACAGAACTCCCCCAACACACACCCACATGCACCATTTATACAACAAACACTAGATTTGTAACACTTACACACATATATTACACTGCCATTTATATATTGACATTTATATTATACTATTTTTGACTAAAATATATATCAATTATTATTTTATGTATACATTACATACTATTTATTGTAAATTGTTCTACATTATATTGACTAAATTAAACGTTAATATAGGTTTTGTTTATTATGGATTATGTTAATAAAATAGATCAACAGATGAATATTAATTAGTATATATCTAATTTTACAAATGTAATTTTGTTGTTGTACATATCACCAGATTTATACATGTTATAGTTTATAGATTATAGTCTAAAACAATAAACATTAGTTTAGATATTAGATAAGATTAGAATATTATCAAAGATTATAGTTTATATTACACTACCCACCAAAATAACAGATGATCATCACTGATTACAGATTAAAAGAGATTATGGTTTATTAAATATTATACATAAAAAACACTAATATAAATTATATAAATTAGTTTAAAATAATATCATATGATTATAGTTTACTGAATTATAGACTAAAATAATAGACGATTAGTTTATCGCAGTTTAAACACAATTAATTTACATTATCATTAATTAAAATAATAATATCAGATACTGCAATTCATATATAAATAAACAATAATTCAGATCAGTATAGATATTATATAGTAATTGTTAAGAATAATCCCTGCATTTGATATGACACCTGATCATGTATTCAAGGTGCCTCAAAGCACTTCACAGGATACACTGTAAAGTGTAGTGACTGTATATTTTGTGGTAGCCAATGGCACACTGCGACGTCTCACAAACAGGCATAGATTGAGTGGCTAAATTATTTTTTATGAAGGGATTATTAACCCCGGAAAAGCAATCTGCCAATTGACTAACTTACTGCTAAGGTAAACAGAGGCGTGTGGGTGTGAGGAAACTTATATATTTATGTTTTATATATTATCACAATTAATATATACAATAATCATTTAGATGATTATACAGTGTATTACAGACTTGGATGACAACCGTATTATCAGAGTTTGTGAGCCTAAAAAAACTTGATAGTAGTTTATCATAATTAATACATAAAATAATTAGAAGATTATAGATGTTAAAATAATAATAATTTGGTCACTCAACTGCTTGTGGGACGTCACTGTGCGCAATTGGCTTCCCCGTTTCCTTCACAACATACAGTTACTACACTTTTTGAGACGTCTCGAAGCCATAAAAAGCGTTGGATCAATTGCAAGGATTATTATTATTAACAACTTAGCCCAGACTCGCCAGCCAGTCATTGGAAATAATTTATCTCTACGGAAACCTCTCTTCTTTTAGCACTCGCAGAAACTTTTCTACATCTCCTCTGTATAAACATAACTTGCATTTATAGAGCACCCCTTCGTGCAGGGTAGCGTCCAAGAGAAGTGCTATATATCATAAATAATAAGAGATTATAAATTATTATAAATAACATAAACTTTATTCTTCATGATAAGATGGTTTATCATATACGATATGAAACGTTGGGGCAAATTTCCTTACTCTACACACACAGACACACACACGCGCGCGCGCACGACTGTTTACCGTGCAGGAAGTGTAAGAACCCGGTTGTTAAATCGATTGGCGGATCACTTTTTTGCTTCAAAATAATAATAATGCGGTCACTCAATCCACGACCGTTTGTGGGACGTCGCTGTGCCCAATTGGCTGCCGCGTGTCACCCACAAACGCACACAGTCACTCCACTTTACAGTGTGTCCTGCGGAGCGGTTTGAGACGTCCTGAAGACGTGATAATCCTTGTGTTTGATTTAGCGCCTTATCACGTCTTCGAGACGTCTTAAAGCGCTTCACGGGATACACCGTAAAGTGGATGGACTGTATATAAGGCGCTGTATCAAATGCAATGATTATTATTATTACTATTAGTATTCATATGATGGGTTTATCAAAATTAATACATATATGAGAGTAATAGAACAATATAATTAAATAATTGAAATGATCTTCGAGAGATGCACTTTGAGACCTCTCGACGACGTGATAAGGCGTTGGATTAAATGCAAGGATCACTGTAGTATTATTCATGTGATGGTTGACCACAACTAATATATATGTGTGAAATTTATAAATTAATATCTAAAATAATTGAAATGATCGTAGAGAGACGACACACACACACACACACGGACAGATAAGAGTTGATCGGATGGAACAGACTGGACTACAACTTTTCTCCATTTTAAATTGTTTCTGTCACCTATTACAATAACAATCCCGGCGTTTGACCCGGCGCCCGATCACGACGTCGCGACGTCTCAAAGCGCTTCCCGGGACACGCCGCAAAGTGTAGTGACTGCGTGTTTTGCGGGGCAAAACGCGGATATGACGGTTTTTAATCGCAATCGACGCGTAACTATAAGAGACTGACAGACAATATACACATATATATATAATAATCGAGACAATTAGGGAGAGACCACGCATTAAAAAATATAATAACAATAATAAGGCATCTCAAAGCACTTCACAGGACACACCACAAAGTGAAGTGACTGTGTGTTCTGTGGGCAAAACACAGTTATGATAGTTTATGTCACAATTAATACACGGATGAGGTACGCGTAGATTAATAGAGATTAATAAGCAACACATGTGTTGTCAACGAACAACATACGTATTGTTTATTTACCAACGAGAATAAAGGCGTGAGCGACGGTTATTAACAGGAGATTGATATAAAAACTGTGGGGTGTGTATGATCGAGAGAGACGATTACAGAGAGAGGGGGAGAGAGAGAGAGAGAGAGGAGACATTAAAATGGAATAATAATTAATAATAATAAAGGTGATGATGTTTTCGGGGGAAGAGAGGGGGGGGGATTGAGAGCCACATTTAACAAAAAAAGAGACGCGAATAAAGATGGAATGACGAGTGGATGAGATGGACAGAGAGAGGTCACGAACGTGAACCCCCACCGGGTTGACACGACAC